GGCAGATAAAATTAACCAATTAGTAAAAAGTTTTAAAATGGAACTCTGTAAATTGGCTAAAACACCAATGAGCCAGGAGTTTAGCCATAGTGATGTTCAAAGTCCTGTTTTTGATAAGAACATTTATCAGTCCTTGATTGGTAGTTTATCTTATTTCGGTAATTGGTCAAGGCCAGATATAGCATACAGTGTTAACCAATTAGCCAGATTTAATGCTGAGCCAAATGAAAGGCACTGGCAAGCTGCTAAGCGTGTGTTAAGATATCTGAAACAAACAATGCATTATGCATTGTATTTGGAGCCTAAGGATGAACTTAGTTTAACTGCATACGCTGATGCAAGTTTCGCTACAGACGTAAATACACGTAAATATACATCAGGTACTATAGTATTATTGGAAAATGTGTTGATTGGATGGAGGTCTATTTAACAGAAACATCTAAGTTTGTCAACAATGGAGGCTGAATTCTCATATTTATCTTTATTATGTACAGATTTAATTTGTTATAAGCAACTATTAATTGATATGGGAATTGTTGTTTATGAAGACAACCAATCAGCAATACAGATGGCTTCAAATATTGCTGTTAAGACAAGATAAAAACACACAGATTTAAGATATTTAAATGTGAGACAATGTGTGCAAAGTAAGATGATTAAGCTAGAATACTGTATGTCAGAAAATAACATCGCAGATCATTTTACAAAAGCCCAAGGCTCTGTAAAGCATAAGGCTTGCTGTGAGGATTATGGACTTCGAATGTAAAGTTGTATATATTGTCCTACCCAAAGGGGAGAATGTTAGGAATGTAAGTCACCTAACAGTTGGGTTGGAAAATATATAAACCAGGATAGACATTTTAATACTGTCTCTTTAAGGCAGGGGTCCCCAACCACCGGGCCCCGGACCGGTACTGGTCCGTGGAACATTTTCTACCGGGCCGCCGGTTTGCTGGGCGCCGCCATCTTGTTTTGATGAGAAAGTGCTTCCGGTGAGCTTTTCCGGTTGGAAAGAGGCGTTTGGGTCCTGAAGGAATCCTCGTGCCTTAGTTTCATCGAAGGGGGGGCGGCTTCGAACAAAACTAAGGCACAAGGATTCTTTCAGCACCCAAGGCAAGGCGAGCCGAGCGACCGTCCTGAAGCCGTCCCGAAGCCCATCGACAAAGGTACAAAGGAGGAGTTGAAGGTGGCGGGGAGAAGCGGGGGACGGCTGGCTGGCCGGTTGCTCGGCTCGCCTTGCCATGCGTGCTGATGCCGGTACCGGGCCGCGGATCATTTTGTGATGCCGGTACCGGGCCGTGGCACAAAAAAGGTTGGGGGCCACTGCTTTAAGGGAATGCTAAAATTGTAATTGGGTGTGGTTCCTCAAACGGCCATAAGATGGAGACAGAAACCTGGGCTGTTCTGTTCTGTTGTTTCCAAGAGTGTTGCCATTCCTACATTTTCCTATTGACTGTTACTGATCATCGTTATTCTTGGCTTTGATGTAAGTCTGTTACTGAACTGTTTTTGATACTGGACTTTGATATTTGGATTATCCCTGGACTGAAAACTGACTGCTTTAACCGTGAATGACTTCGACTGTTTTGTTGAACTTTGCTTAACCGTTTTACTGGAAGTAAAAACCTACATTTTACTATACAGTGTATCTGTGTGCTGTTTGTGTGTTATTCTTCACCACTCTCACTATGTCTCCCTGTGTGCACTCATTCTCCTAACGGGGAATTACCTCAACAGAAATAAATATCAAATATTTTTAGTCAAATTTTCCCAGGAAAAAATGTTGCATGCTCATATTCATGCCTAACTAATCCATACCTGCAGTAAGTAGGACAGGCTGTTTAGATCTCCAACTTCTAGGATTAGAAATTTCTGTAGCTGTAACAAAAATGTTCTTTTTTTTTTTTTGTTCTACTTTTCTCTGTCTACTGAGAGGGATATATACAGTATCTCAGAATCTTTGAGGCAGGACTTTAAGTTTTATTCTGAATTAAATTGGGTTATAAACTATAAGCAGAGATCGATGACTGCTCCCTTATTTATATGCTATCATTTTAATTTACTAGCTAATACTAATAATCTTCTATAATCTATCTCCAGTTTCAGCACAGGAATATTTGACTTAAATAACCTAATAAGTCAATCCTGTTTGTAAACACCTAGTATAAAATCCACTACAATATTAATAATTATGAAAATTTCAAGAATAAATAGAATACACTTCTTTAAAACAATTGATTTTTAAACCGCAACATTTTTTAAAGTAAGATTCTCTGGGAAACATTTGTGAAAGAGAGTAAAAGCTTTTATTCCTTATTTTAGAAGTGTAAAATTAATAGGATTTTGCCTGAAGCTCTCTTTTCGTTTTGTTAATCCTAGAGGGTTGAATGTTTTTTGCTGAATTCATTCCAGAAATCTGGAATATCCATAGACACTGATACAACAGAAGAAATATCCTGACAGCTGTAATATGAAGCATTGTAAGCAACATTTTTAAAAGAAAAAAAACCCAATTTATAATAGATACAAGCTTGAGCTGTTATTTGAATGATTTCGTAAACGCACTCAAGGGTCACATTGGTATTATTGTTAGGCAGATGGTGAAGGGACAGGGACAAAGTCAGCTGAATGACCTTGGGCCATTCAGTTTCTTGCATTCCACTTATGAAAAACCTTGAAGAAAAGAAAGAAAATGGAAGAAACTTATTCAGACCTTCTCTGAGAATTAGACAGAAGAAGAAAAAAGAGAGAAAGAGAATGTATAGAATTATGTTTACAGTAATTAAAAGTCAAAGCTGCAAAAAAATGCAGATAATTTTCTTCTAATGTATCTGATTCCCTCTTATTATTGATTTTTTTTTCAGATTTCTCTCTACCACGTTCTATCAGCTTTAATTTACTTTATAATCTGCTCTCCCTGTTTGATGTATGGGTGGTATTGTTTTGATCATGTTAATTTCAATACTCAAAGAATTATTTCTACAGGATGTGTGTGTTAGTGTAATATGCAATATTGTGCAAATATACACTCTAATAAACTACTTTAAATCATTGCTAACAATCATTTAATGGATTACGTAACAGTTCATTCCTATCTTGCAGAGGAATGATCTGTGATTTCTAGGAGTTGGGATGAATTTCAAATATGATTATAGCAGCAGCTCTAGTATAGATCTCGTTTCATTTTTGCAATCATTACCTTACATAACAAATAGAAAATTGCAGGATGACTATGGTATGATTTAGATTAATAAAACACTGATGGGAAAATATTTAAATTTAGGAATTTTTGCATCAATCCTCCTCTAAAGGAAAACTCGAGGAAGGATTGCAACAAATAGTATACCACCAAAAGTCACCCTTTCCGGAAGTTTATATTGTAATGCATAATAATACCAGAAAACAAAAAATTTGCTTCCTCAATACTTTTGGGTGTATCAATAGGAAAATAACCTATAATTTAACCTATCATGTATTGTTTTATGGGATTCTGTTTTGGCAAGTGCTTCTTATATGTATGCTTTGTATAGCCCAGTCATGCACTCAGAGCATATTGAATCACTTGAGGACCAAGAAAGATATTTATGCATCCTCTTCAAATAAAACTCAGATTGATGAAAAATTTTGTGAAAGCGGTGAACAAGGAAAGTTTTTGTTATTTGAGACAGATATTTCCAAAAATAACTGATGCCAAGAATAAGGAAGGTATTTTTGATGGTCCATAGATCAGATACATCATCAATGACAAACAGTTAAAGGACTATTAGTGGGGCCAGAGGAAATCACCTGAAAAATACCCAAGGATATTACTGAGAATGTTCTTGGCAACCACAGAGCAGCAAACTATACTCAGTGGGTTGACAAACTTTCTACAGCACAAGACCATGAAGTGCAACATGTAATTGAAGATTCATTTTCTGCATCCATACTTGGATTTCTTTTCCCAAAATTTAGGTGCAGTCAATGATGAATGTGGTAAAAGGACATTTTCACACTGGAACAATATATCAGAGAAATTGGAATCCATCAATGCTGGCTGACTAGTATCTGATTGTTGGATATTGCATTGAATTGCTTCATATACTGTGTTCAAATGAAAATCAGCAGCAAAACACTTTTAGTGCTCCTGATATCATGCAGCATGTCAGAAATGTGATTAAATACATTATAGTTATTAAAAGTTAATTCATGTTTTCAAGATTCCTGCATGATATAGTCATTCTCAACTTATAATTATGCTCAGTTTCAAGGGGTCTATCATAATCATCAAGTTTTCAGAAAACAAAACTTTTGAAAAATCTCTTGTCCAGTGCGATCAGTGATTATGATAGTTTATTTTTACAAGAAAAATTTAAAAAATATTGAAACAACCCATTCAATAATATGCAATATCAGTTATAAATCGTAATTAGATATAAGAAGTTATATAGAATGTTTCATCAATGTCTGAAGTGAAATTTCTTAAAGTCTTACAGTTGGCATAAAATTCTGACTATTTTGGTGTTCAGATGCTGCAAAATCATTTGTATAGATATTGTAATATTGAAGAAAAAGGAACATGCTCTTACCTTAAAAATTGATAACACAAAATTTGTATTATTCTTTACGATCTTTCTTTAAAAATTTTATTTTTTGTTCAGTTATGTCAATCTGGTGTCTAGGTAGAAATTTATCAGTATCTCCTCTTTCTTCAAGATCAGTGATTGAGCATTTCACTGACAGAGCAACAATAGCAAAAAGTTCTATGCTTGTGTTATCACTCATTTTATGACCCTCCAGGAAAAGTCTATCTCTACTTGAGTGTTCAATGCACGTATAAAGTTTGATGAAAATAATTCAAACTTGTTAGAAAGCAAACTTAATAAACTGTCCATCTGTCATGTAATCCATGTTTTCCACTGCTATTATTTCCATTCTGATTTAAAAACCATTACTGTAAAGAATTTGAACAGCATAATAATCTTGAAAATATATTAATTTTTTAAGCTTTGTTCCTACAGGAGGTTTATGGATACATATCTGAAAAGAATTCCTAGTGAAGCATTCTCCAGACTACCCAACATCTCCAAGATGTAAGTTTTTATCTACATTATTTTCTTAAAATAAGCAATATTTGCTCTCTTGCTTGTTTAATGCTGCAGCTAAAAAGAAAAGATTGACAGCCAGTTTGCTGTACTTGTTAAGGCACCTGGCTAGAAATGGTGAGATTGTGAGTTATAAGATTTCCACCTTAGATGGGTGACCTTTAGCCAATCACTCCCTCTTAGTTTTAGATCTAGGAACCAGGCAGTGGTAAGCGCACTTCAAAAATCTTGGCGATAAAACTGCAGGGATTATCTCAGGTGGTTGCCAGGAGTCAACATTGACTCAAAGGCACACACAAATGCATAGACAGACAGAAAAAAAGCAAGAGAGATAGAAAAAAACCCCATCAAGAATTGCACGAACTTGATGAAGTGATAGAAAAATCAATTATCTTGTCTCAGATTTCCTAAGCCATTGTCTGAACCATGTCAATACATTTGTAGAATATATTTGGTCAAACAATTTCAGCTGTGCTGGTTTACTTGGGAGTGCTGACTTCAATCTTGCAAGTATATAGGTTAGGTGTCAATCAAACATGTTAGTTGTTTTCAGTAGAAAGTTTTGGGGAAGGAAAGAGCTCAGGGATATATCAAAATACCCAGGTTGTATTGATTATAGTGTTTTTTGGTCTAGGAATACATATCTATATGGGTAATTGCTGTGATAATTATGCAGTATTGTTGTGTTACAGTTTCATGCTTATTAGTAATACTGATTGCCTTTCCCTTGAGGATTACCTTTGCAGGGCGCAAACATTTAAATATCTACATAGAGAGAGAGACAGACGGACAGATAATATGATCTAGTAGTTAAAGTGCTGGATAAACAACAGAGAGACCAGGTACTAGTCCTCCCTTAGGCACCAAAACTAATGGGTGATTTTGAGCCAATCATTTCCTTGCAGCTCTAATTAGCTTCAGGCTCTACAACAAGCTTGCTGATAAGCAAACCTTTGCAGCATCATGCACTCTTGCAGCTTTGCCGTAGGAACTAAATAAGCACAGTGCAAACATAAGCAGATCCTGTCCATGTTCAAATATTTATGAGGTTGGGATGTAGCTCTGGAAGAATATAAAGGAGAATCTCTTTCAACTTTTATTGAATTTATTTTAGCCAGGGCTACTTCAAAGCCTTCAAGTAGCATCGTTTCCCTCCTATCTGGGATATTCAATAAGAGAGCATCTGACCTCTAGTTACAAATTTCTTTCAGCTTTGCTTATATCATTAAGAAACAATATATATGCACATGAACAACACAACCACCCTAAGCTATTCATCTCCGTGACAAATAGTCCCTCAATGTCCTCTGCTCCTGCCTGCCTAGGAAATATGCTGACTACAGAGTTGTCCAAGGAGTGGAATAAGGAGAGTAAACTCAAAGTAACTTGATGCATGTTTTAAAAAGAGGTGAGGCTTGAAACGTGCAGTGATGACCTGGATCACTGATCCACAAGTAGCAAACTTGAGAACTGCATATTTCTACGTCAATCAGATTTGTTTTTAGTTCAGCTAATCAAATTTTGTTAGCTATGCATACTAACGTGAGTGACTGTAAAGCTCCTAAACGTACTTCTGCTTTATTTTCACTTGTTTTATAAACTGTTTTCATTTATTACTGTGTTTTATATAACATTGTCTCAGGTGCAAGCTGTTTTCTACACATGCAGCTCCAACCCACTTAACCATGAAATACTCGATGGCCATTTAGAATGTCATTGCCACATAGTTACCAGGAAACTGAATATCTCGTTTTGAAAAATACCAGCTAAACATGAAATACATTTTCAGCATTTGTAGATTGTTGTAAGCCATTCTACATTGAGCTGTCCTTGAACTCTTAAAAATAGAAGTTATAAGGCAGACGCATCAAAGACGCAGCCCACGGGCTGGATCCAGCCCATGATGGATCTAGAGTTGTCTTGCAGAGCCGTCCCAGAGATGGTGAGGGATTGGCCTACTCCAGGCCACACCCACCCCAGCCTCCCAGGGGCAAACAAAATCCTGATACACCCCGCAATGGGATTGAGTTTGACACCCCTGTTATAAGATAACTGCATCGGTTACTTCTGCATATACTTCACGATGCTGTTTATTGGTTTAAAATCCTAAAAAAAATACCCCAACACCTAATTCCTCCTATATTTATATCTCAGCCTTTAAGAAAAGATGCAGAATTTGCTTCTCTTCTGATTTTCCCTACTGAATCCATTTGTCAGTAACCCAATGGCAAAAGGCCTTCATGGTCATTCTGTGAAAGACTTGAGGCTCATTCAGGCTCATATTTCTGTTTTCAGATTTAGACTGACAATCTGGTTTTTCTGAACCTTGTTTCCTATAGGAGGTCCTTTTTCCCGATCCCTACAACCTGAGGTGCCCTTCAAGAGAGGAAGAGGGACACTGTTCCCTTCCTTAAATTGCCACATGTGGCTGATTCTTTAGAGCCTAGTATTGACTTTAGCCTCCAAAGACATGTACACCGCTTCTTTTGTTCCAGTAAGAATGAAAAAGATATTTCACATTGAAAAGGGGGAAAAACCATTGTTTTTAGAGCAATATTTAAATGGGATCTAAGTCAGTTTGTTTACTCTTAAGGTTCCAGTGCATGAATGTGCTTTTTTTAATGAGAGGAGGGGGAAGTCTTTGGATTGTGTTTCCAATGATTGGTTGACCACTTTGTTCATATAATGAATTTTCTCTTGGCTTGTCATCTGTCTTGATGTCTGAATTTTATTTCTCTTCCTTCCTTCTGTGTAGCTATATCAGCATAGATACAATGCTACAGGTGTTGGAGGCTTATTCGTTCAACAACTTAAACAAGGTCACTCACATGTAAGTAGATTAAAATAAATCCTTCCAAATCATGAGCAGTAATCTCTCCTCTCCTCTCCTCTCCATAAATAGTGTTCTGTGATTTTCTCATGCCCTTCTGTTTCACTCTATAGCTGTCTCTGGCATTAGACCATTTCACGGACATGGAAGGCTGCTGCTGGAACTTAATTGAAAATATATATATTTCAACCCTGGAGCCATATTTAAGCGTCTTCAAAGTTGCCACGAAGGTTGGATGGAGCTGTGGGAAAGGGAGGAGAGAGTAGAGATAGTGGGGAAGCATGTAGCTAAAATAACATTTTTTCCTCTGTGAACCAAGCACGTTCTCACTAGCACCTGGAGGGGAGTGGACAGAGGACTCTAGGATGGGAGAAAGGACCTGATTGGGGCATATGATATGGTGCTTGTGTGTAATGGGGGAAAGAACTTTGGACTTTGGTTTGGGTGGGGAAAATCCAGGGTCTTCAGAGTTGGGTTTTCACCAGATGTGCCAATACAAAATGTCTAATAAATCTATACTTTGAGGAAGACTTTGGCCTTGGAATTTTGATTTCATGCGGGCTGTTACTTGGAACCCTGACAATATACAATATGTATATATCATAGATCAAATTGGTTGTATGAATTGGCTACTGTAAATTAGTTCTGAAGATGAACTTTAAAAGTGCTACAGTTCATCTTGGGAGCTATATCCTTAAAGCTGTAATTGATAACCTTACACGTATTTCCTTAAAAGGAACTCCCTCTGAGTTCAGTGAGATCTGTTTTTCCATTATCATTTTCTATACTATTGTCTTTCTAGACCCATCTTTTAATCACTGCATATAAGGTTTAAATGCAGTATATTTTGCATGTGACTTATTTAAGAACAACATTTTATTTTACAGCAAGCAATTTCTAATATTTTTGCAGTTATAGTTGCTATATGTTGCTGTTGACCCAAGAATTGGGAGTAATGAAAAAGTTAAACAAAAACAAATAAATTTAATGGGTAAAAAGCTAAAAGGTTTGACTATAATGGTAATAGCTTGATATGATTCTATGATGAAAGATTCTTTAGAATTATGGTGTGCTTCTATGGTTTTGTAGAAATGCACCCTTTATGTTGCAACTTTTAGAAGTCTGATTTTTTTTATTTTATTAAATTATTATTTTAAAAATAATATTTAAAGTCATCATCCTAGTTTACTTAAAGTTTGATTTTACTAACAATTTAGGGAGTTATATAGCTTTTATTTAGAGTTTAACATTTTTTATAAAGTATACCACGATATAAAAGTCTGAAAACTTTATTTTCATAGAAAGTTAGATGGAAGTACTCAGGCTTTAAGAAACAATGCAGGAACTATTAAATACAACATAGTACTCCAAATTATAGGCAATCGAATTAATCAAGGAGTCTAAAAGAAGAAGAGCCATCTCCCATTTTTTAGTTCTTGGCTCTCTAGTAGTCAGATATAATTATTCCTTTTCATTACGTAGCATTTGGCTGTCTCTGCATGCATAGTACCCCCAGTCTTTAACATGCACAATTCTCTGCAGTTGTTAAGCTAGTAGCATGGTTGTTAAGTGAATCTGGCTTCCCCATTGACTTTGCTTGTCAGAAGGTCACAAAAGGTGATCACATGATCCCAAGATACTGCAACCATCATAAATATGAGTCAGTTGCCAAGCGTCCAAATTTTGATCACGTGACCATGAAGACGCTATGAAAGTTGTAAATGTGAAAAACAGTCATAAGTCATTTTTTCAGTGCCATTGTAACTTTGAACGTTCACTAAAATGAACTATTGTAAGTCAAGGATTACCTGTACCAATACAAACAAATTGAAGGGTGTCCAACTATATGATAATACCAAATAAATTGCTTAACTTTTAAACTATTAATGAATATGGTATTTAGCTAAAATCCTGAGGATTATCTATTTTTCAGACTCATGAGGAAGCCGAATGCTTTTGTGGTGAGACATTAATTAATTTCAGTACCTACAGTATGATTTTTTTTTCACCAGAGCCAATATCTACTTCAATAAGCAAATCAAAAGTCTTGTTAATTGTCTGCAATATAATTAACCTAGAGAACCAGAATTAGTCTTCCTTAAATAATAATACTGAAAGACTGAAGCCAATATGTTTTACATATTTTGCACAAAACATTCACCAAGAAGCCATAAATTCTGTAAGATTATGTTTTCCAGAATCTATTGTTATATTTTTATGTTTCATTTACAAAAATAGAATAAAATGACATAACATTATACTTCTGTATCACCCCTGCAATCTACCCCAATCTGGTCCACATATGTTGATCTCAGTCAGACCATTTTAGTTAAAAATTGTGCTGCATTAAATGTCGTTTTCAGATTCTGGCCACACATGAGGTATGTTGTTTTAATATAGGGCCCACTGGGCCATATATTTAATTTTTGGATCAAGGTACTTATCTCTCCACCCCTCTTATACAAACAGCAATCAAATAATATATGAGTCAAGTCTTCTACCACTTCAGCTCCACAGATACATGTACATTCATTGTATGGGATAGACTGGAATCTCCCAAATCTAACCATTGTATCAAGCTGGGATAAATGTCTCCCTGAGATGTTTTGGCAGCTGAGATTTTAAATAGTTGTCCATTTGGAAGGTGAATTTATATCTATTGTTACATTTTTGTGCATACATTTAATTTACAAACATAAATAATGTTTCTGGAAATGTGCTTATTTCTCAACAGAGACATTCGAAATGCTAAAAATCTGAGATACATAGATAATCAAGCCTTTATGAACCTCCCAATGCTGAAATATCTGTAAGTAGTTTAAACAAAGTTCCGACAATCATTGTTCAGGTGCATCCTAAGGGTATGTCAATATACTACCTGTACCTTCTAGTTGCTAAAATATAGTCAACAGTATACAGGAAATCTTACGATCCTAAATGTGCCCAAAATTTATGTTGCTAAGTGAGATATTTGTTAAGTGATTTTTGTCCCATTTCATGACTTTTCTTGCCACAGCTGTTAAGTGAATCACTGTAGTTGTTAAGTTAGTGACAAGGTTGTAAACTGAATCTGGCTTCCCCATTGACTTTGCTTGTCAGAAGGTCACAAGAGGTGATTGCATGAGCCCAGGACATTGCAACTGTCATAAATAGGAGTCAGTTGCCAAGCATCTGAATTTTGATCAAGTGACCATGGGGATAACTGCAATGGTCATGTGTGTGAAAAACAGCTTAAAGTCACTTTTTTCCAGTGCTGTTGTAACTTTGAATGGTCACTAAATGAACTGTTGTAAATCGAGGACTGCCTCTATTGCCTTGCAAAGTAGTTTCTATCTTGATTTGCATAGACTTCGTTATCAAGAGAAAAATGTGACTGTCAACTAAAAATTTACTCCTTGGTCTTTTTAGCTGCCAGAAAAAGGGAGCGGGGGAAAACAAGGCCCTGACAGTGACTTCTTTAAGGAGCCACTAACCAGCAAAATGCAAAAAGCAATACCTTTCCAAATACTGTACATTACTAGCGAATGTCAGTGGAAACTGACTAGACAGGTGGTATTACAGAATCCCTGATTCAAGCTGCTAAATAATTTCAATATCCACATTGGGGCTGGTTCATGCAGTACAGAAAATCTAGCACCATGAAAGCCACAGGTCTATTCTCATTAGTTACACTTAGGGTAGACAAGACAAACTTAATCTTTTGTTTTGACCAAGATGTTCCATGGATTGGTATGTTTCTGATTTCTCCACTCTCATGAAAGGACTGCCGTCTATTTTACTTTAGTGTCTATATTTTACTTCTATAGGAAAATTAAAACATTAGAACATGTTGTTTAATCCAAAAAAGACTATAGCAGGGGTGTCAAACTCGTGGCCCATGGGCTGGATGCATCACTCACTGGCCACTCCCACCCCCAGTTTAGTGAAGAAGGGAAAAGTTGTGATATGTCACGTGACGACAATGTGATGCCACAAGTTTGACACCCCTGGACTATAGAATCCAGTTGGTTTCCGAAAAATCAGGGAAGAATTTGTGATAGATCCTACCAGTGATTCTGTTAATAAGGGGGGGTGGGGGGGCTAACTTACTAGGTCAGTTGATACAATTGCTTCTTAGTAGCTTTTCTGACTTGTCAGAAAGAAAGGCCCCATAATTTGTTGATGAATGAACAATAGGACTACAAGCAGCAAGATAAATGGCTTAAAATACTGTATTTGACACAAACCTGTTCTAAATAATTTGTACACAATCCAACGCCCAGTGATTCATTTTAGGCAAGTGTTAATAATTTATTTTAATCGTTTAGAGCCAGAGAGAAAGAGGAGAATGGAGAGAGAGTGGTGTGCGGTTTTATGTTTTACTATTAACAGCTGAGAGATCTTGGAAATCAATGATATAATTTTTTAAAAATGAAATAATAAATCATAATTTCAAAATCAAATTATAAGCACTATCCAGTGAAGAAATTAAGAATTACTTAATTACTTATTTTCCTAACAATTGCCAACATTTTATAGTATTCTCATATAATGTTGATTACTATGTTCCAGCAAAATTATAAGAATAATCACCTTAGATGGAAGAACCGATCACAAATAATTAAATTAAACAATATATGATTATGAAGGATTATCTTGAAATAATAAGGACCAAAGAGTCAACTTCAGCCTCTGCAAGGACAAAACCTATGACTATTAAAATATATTTATAATGCCATTTATATATTGCAGGGCATAAAAATAGGGTGCAATATTCTGTTTAAGAAAATTAAGGGTTCATTTGGAAAAGAAGAATTCACTCTTGAATTCTAAATTAAGGAGAGGTTCACATTCTGTATAAAATGTCTTAATTTAGTGTGACCATGAGTATCATCAATGCTCTGGAAAATTAAATTCTTTTGTTTTTCCCAAAGTTTTTTTATTTTTATTTTTTACACATCTCTTCACGTGAGCAATGTGGTTCCAGATTACAATATTTATACACAGTCATAGTTACATTTTCAACTTTCTTAATTAATATCATCCCTAGTTATTATCCATTCAACTGATCTTTAGATAAATTTCCCTTTCATATTCAGTTCATTAATTCAATATCAAAATCATTTCATCCTCATGTATATTTTCAATTCTTCATCCCCTATTATTTCCATTTTCAGCTTACCACCTATTTTTTGTTACATTATGTATTGTTATCATCTATAACTTTCTCAAGACCAATATATAATTAGACAGTCAATGAAAGAAAAAATGAATAAAAGTAAAGTAAGATTAATACATTTAGGATCCACATGGTAGATCCCTCCATCTATGATATATCTTATATATATTCCAGAGATATTCATATAATCATTTCATATTTTTTCTTTGTTTCCACATAGCCAAAAATACAATACATTCATTATAAATATTTTACATTCCCACATAATCCCTTCTAATTCATTATGTTTTCTATTTTCTCATATCCTTTGTATAATCAATTGCATTTTCTATTACATGTATACCACAAAGAAAAAAATAAAAACAGAGTTAATTTCCCCTTTTACTTCCCTTTAACCAATTTCAACCTATAGCATTTATATAACCCTAATTCACATTTTTTGAACATAATTAATACCAGATTTTCACCCATCATCATATTCTCTGTTTTCCTAATATCATTTAGATAGTCATTAGCATATTTTAGAAATATATATATATATATATATATATATATATATATATATATATATA